ATTTCAAGAACAAACAGCTTGAAAACAAAACAATTGATCTAATAATGAGTGATTTCAGAACAATTACTTTGAAATCGGCCGATTGATTTGATAACAATCGATTTGAAAACAAGAAGATTGGTTTCTGAACAATCGGGTTGAAAACAAGACGGATGAGTTGATAACAATCAATATGGAAACGATCGATCTGAAACTGATTGCTTTGAAGATGACTTTTCCAAAACCAAACAGAGTATCAAAATGACTGATCTGAAAAGATCAAGAATTGTACAAGATGTGATAGGTATTGTGATGTATGTACCTAGATACCGGTGTATGTGGTGGGACAGAGGGGAGAAGTCGAGCACATTTGCAGATACAGACCTCTGCAGAATCGGTAGAGGTCCAGTAAATTTGCTGGACCTCTACAGAATTTTGACCGATTCTGTAGCTACCGATGTGTGTTTTTGACACGATTGGGGATTTTGACCCTCGGTACGGTAAAATTTACCGTACCGAAGCCCTTTACCGTCAAGCTGTGGGCGCGTGTTTTGAAAAGTCAGGCGCACCTGTGCGCCTGTTTTCACCAAAAAAATTTGCCTCGCACCCGTGTGCGGCGGTGCTACGCACCCTTGTCTCGATTCGCTTTGTTTTAGATAAAAGCAGCGGAAAACATATATTTCATCATATAAATCTTTTACATTTATATGGAGAAAACTTTGATTAGACAGGATAAGTTGAAATGTTGTAGGAAATCATTTGAAGAGATCATCGGCACTCCAGGCCACTCCAGGACTGTCTGGAACATCCATAACATGCGACTCTTGAGCCAGACTAGATGAACAACTTTTCTCAAATACTCGGAAATCAAAGATAGAAGTGATGAATCCAGTTTCGTCTACATAAAGACTGGGATCGATAGGGTCCAGATGAGCGAATACACCTTCTTCAAAATATTCCAATTCTTCGGCCAGGCCCAATTCTTGCTCAGCGAGAGCTTCTTCAGTATCGAGATCGCTTTTCAAAGCTTGTTTTTTGTTCTGAGAGGTGTATCTTTTGTTAGGATCCTGTGATAAGAGATGCATCCGGACCTGTGAAGACATTTTTAGAGTGTTGGTCTTCATGCTACTACGGCGCTTCGTTTTCGTGGCCCCCATATCCGAAAAAAGACTTTCAACACCAGCTGCATGTGGAACTACTTGGAGAACAGAAATCGCGAGTCTCTTGAGAGGGCTTTGATTGGCTGAAACCGGTAGACTGAGCCAATAAGTAAGGGGCTGAGAGCCTAGATCGACTCAAGCAAATGTCAGATGAGTCATGTAGGTATAGAGGTCTCAAGAAACTATAAAGGGACTTACTATTAGTGTCCGACTGAAATGGCGACTGAGAGTTATAGAACCTAATAACTTCATCCTTTATTGTGTAACCTTCCCTTGCAGAGAATCCCCATCGATTAGCAAGGTTACATATCATCCAATTCATCTTGCAAAGGTCAAACCGGCGAGATACAGCAGTAGTCCGAAACGAGGGATTCAAAAAGAAGGCTATAAAGTAGATGTCTTCATTGAAGACTTTGCTTCGCAGGTGTAGGACACTTTCGGAATATCTTTTGAATGGAAGATATCGACTGTAGACGTCGATCTTTGATAGAGCACAATAGACGTGCAGAACTTCTTTCCAGATGTCGGCAAGAGTTGTGTTGGCATGTTCCAATCGACCGATGGCATCAACCACTGATCTTAAAACAATTATGAGAGCTTGGTTTCCCGTGAAATGGTCGCGATCAGAGATTATTGATTGGACATTTGCATTGATTTTGGGTGAATCAAACAAAGGGTCATCATCGGCTTTGATTGCTTTCTTGAACCCACCCTCATGTTCGGATACACTGATGCAGACTTTTGCCATCGAATACCAGCGAGTCTCACATGCAGTCATGAGACCATGTCCAATTTTGTTTTCTTTTCGCCAATCTTCAAGGAAGTCGGACCAAAAATGTGATTTTGTAAAGAAATTGACCAAGTTTTTGTTTGCTGAGACGACGTCGGTCATTGTTGGATGTGACAGTATATCTTTGGCAATAAGGTTGAATACGTGTAAACAACAATTGATTCCAATGACATGTGGATGCTGTAATGTGATGTTTTTCTAAAGAAGACAATCAGTACCTATCTAAAAAAACACAGATACAAGACTTACTCGTAAGGAAATCATTGGACTAGGCGAGTCTGTGACCACAGCACAAACTTGGGACCAATCAAGGGCCTTCTTTTCAAGTACTTTGTCCAATGCGGCATGAGTGTTTGCTGATGTGTGTCGTTTATGATGAAGATCAAGAACATCAATGAATTCCTTGATCTCAGTACCTTTGAGAACTAAGGTAGCGTAGATACTTGACTTGGAACAATCAGTCCAGCCATCGAGAGAGATTGTAAGAAACTTTGTGTCTTCTAAGAGCTCACTAACACGGAGCTCGTTTTTGGCGTGTAAAATAGGAAGAGTAGAATCACACATTGAGTAACGGGTGGGGACTGTGTAAGGGGTTCGGGAAAGAGTTTGTTGGTATTTGATGAAAAAACGGTTTTGAAGAAATGAAAACGGAATGTGTCCAGAGATTATGGCTTTGAGTAACAGCTCGTGAAGTTTCTCGGTGGTTGATTTTGACATTGGCGTGAAGTGATGAAGCGTGCCTTGATTGTCGTTCTTTTTTTTTTTGAGGCAATGTTTACAACCAAACATTCATCATCAATTGACCGTTTTGAAGTATGAGTTTGGCTGTGATCCTCTGGAGATGAGTCTGAATGCTGTGTGTCGTGCTTGTCAACAACTTGCTGAAGGTAACTTGATTTCTGTTGAGCAGTCATCTTTGGACAAGAATCTTTTACGTGAGCAAATAATTTGTGGGGTTTTCCATTGTACCATTCTTCCTTGCAGTATGTGCACTTTGCCTCTCGTCGCTTGCTCTTATTGTCTCGGAGTGCTGTTGTAAGAAAACCTTGCCATCGAGGCCCTTGTTTGGAGTTGGGCAGAATCCACTTGGAGCTGTTTGGACCGGACATTGAAGTATGTGAGAGGGAGCTGAAGAAAAAAATTCTGCCTGTTGTCACTGGGCAGCCTCAAGATCCCTTGCAGCTCAGCCCTGTCGCACCCCTCGCCCCCCCCCTTTTTTAGCTTCTCAGGTGCGAGAGGTGCGTCGCAGGGTGCGCCCGCACCCCTGTGCGGCGCACTCACCCTGGCGCCCACAGCTTGATTCGAAGAGCTGGAATTCTCGGTGGGGGATTGGCAGGCTATGCGAGATATGTTGGACATACTCACAGTAAGTTTCTTATTTTTTGCTATTATCTTACATCGTGACTCCTGACTGATTAGACATTTCCTGACCGGGTCTGGGGATAGCCATACAAGATTCTGACTCGACAAATGGAAGGCGATAAACCTACAGGGTGTATGGTTATCGCCAAGTATGTGGAGCTCAAGTCCTCGATGGAAAGCCGATTAAATAATATGCACATCAACGACCCGCTCTATCCTATGGTGGACGTCATGATTGGAAAGATCAAAACTTATCTGGAGGAAGCTATTGGATGCGACACCCTGGTTCTTGCTGCCGTCTTTCACCCAGGATTACGAGTCAGATTCTTTTCTCACGTTTTTGGAGAAGACTTGGCCAATCACCAGCGAGCCCAAGAAACACTACAATCTGTATTCACTTCGCAACGAGATGCAACTGACGTTCAAAATCAACCAGTCTCTCCACCTTTGGCAATCAAGACTTCAAACAAAGATGTTGGACCATCCTTCCTTCATCTCTATGACAAAGTAGTCACCTCAAGCAACCTCGATGAGCTCGACCGATACCTTCAGGGTATTGACCCAATGGTATCGCCCGATGTGAACAACCCAGATCATGCTCTGGAGTGGTGGAGTGTAAGCAATTTCTCGTCTTTCATCTTTTGTATACTTCATTACCAAAGCTGATCTCTGATCTCTTACAGACTCAAGAAGGTAAATACCCTGTCTTATCGACTTTGGCTCGGGACTACTTAGCAACACCTGCGGCATCCGGTGCCCCTGAACGTTCCTTCTCAATCGCGGGACGTGTATGTACAGCAGAACGAGGAGGATTAGTCCCTCGCTTGATTGAAATGTTGGTTAGTTGTCAAATATGGGTAATCGAAGGAATACCTTTGACTGGTGACTTTGCAGAAGTGGGCAAAGTGATTGAATATGCCAAGAAGTTCCTGGTCAAGAAGACTAGACAAAATCGAAACTAACTTGATACTCTTACCTTCTATTTATCTTATCTTCATTACACTCCTTTAAAAAGTTTCTATATAATGTTTACAGTTCAATTGTTTTCCCTTTGTCTTTTACAGTATTTCTCTACAGTCTTTACAGTACACTTTGTTTAAACATTGTCTCAGTCTCTTAATGTTTCTTTACGGTCTTTTCTTTACAGTTTTTTTACGTTCTCTTTTTAAGAAAATACAAAACCTTTTTTTTTGCCTGCAACGCTCCGAAGCGCTGCGAGAAAAAACTTCGCTTTTAGCTTCCCAAAACCCCCTGAACCCCAGACCCGCTGCCCTTAACGCTGCCGGCTTTGAGACACCCCGTTCTGCGCAGCGCTTTCCAAATATGGCCTAGCAGCGCTGCGAGCCAGACTTGCTCCGACCATATGACAAACATTTGACAAGATTCCACATTCATCTGTAAGAAACATGGGTGCTGCACCGTACGATTGGACACAAAGCGGCAGGGTGTCAAGCCCACAATTGGCCTGGTAATACCACATATGTGATTGAATGTAACCTCATAACGCTGTGCAGCGGTAATTTTCTGGGCACTAGTAAAGCATACTTGAGAGACAATCAGTGTGAACGTGAATAATTCTGTATGTTTAACAATACAATAATAGTGAAGGGAGCACAGAAGATACCAAACTATATCATCAAATCACAATAAATGGTGCACATTTAATACTTGCATACTCACCACAAGCCTTACAAAAAATGAGAATTGAGTTAGGAATTTTGGGATGGAGGCAGTAGTGCAGAAATGGCAGTGACTGCATCATCAAGGTGTGAAGAGTTGGATTGGATCCCCAACATCACTTGTTGGACCTCCCCATATTGACTCAAAAAGGAACTATCATAGCAGCTTTCTGGGAGCTTAGTACAAACTTTAGCCAAAGGGTTGATTGTGTTCCCTGGCTCCCGGTGTGTGTCAAACCGTCTTGTTGCCTGATATCTTCGCATAACAGTGGATTGATGCTCATAGGAAAGCCTGTCCACAAGGTGAAGCCAGTTGCCATACTTCTCACTCCTCCAGCTGGGGCGGATCGACTTTTGAAGAGGTACATCAAGGTCTTCCTCCGTATCCGAACAACAGTCTGCACTTGGAAGGAGGTCAAGGAATTGTTGAGCATATCGTGTGACTGTGACCTTCCGATATTCATGAAGCTGTTGGGTGAATGAAATCAGCACAGAAGTGATTGTAAAGAAAAACTCTTTACTTACCTCTCGCCTTTTCCTAGTCCTATGCCTCTGGCAAACTTTGTGATCCTTTCGAAAACCATTCTTGACTTCTTCGATTCGCCCACACACCCAGTGTGACATGATTCCAATCTGGTATTTGTCTTCATTCCATTTGTCATCCAGTGCAAAGTTGGTGAAAGCAGAAGCCGTTTGTGCAAACCTCCAATGCTTGATGGTGAAGAATATCATGACTTGATTCCATTGGCTCATTTCACCATCATGAGCATACCAATCAAAGGTGTATTGATGGATTCCATTTGCTGACAAGTCTGATTGAACAAGGGCCTTGAATGGCAACCAGTCTGTGGTGTCAAGATGGCTCAAAGAGTTGTAGGTGGTGAAGACTGAGCGGTTGTGCAGGATGGCTTCTTTGGTCAACGGGGGAAGGCTGACAAGTTTGAGAATTGTTGGTGGATTGGGATAATCTGGGTTGTGCCTCGTATGCCCTAGTAAGAATCGGGTGAATTCGGCAAACGATTTACAGTCCGCCTCATTTGATTTTGGTAGGTAAGTTGCCCAGAGTTTGTTCTTGGCTTTACGGCTTTTAGGTGGACCTCCATTGGGCCAAGAGCCAGCATCCTGCTGGGACAAAGATGCTGAAGGGATATGTTAATGATTTAACTCTTGCAGTATAGAAACAAGTGTGGCATACCCATTATTTGATTGGTGGAAGAGAGTAGACTCAAGAGAGGTGTGACAGCTGAGAAAGGCTGAAGTGTTCTTGGATGAGAACTGGTTTGTTGAATCAGAGTGGTTGAAGGGATGAAGCTGGGGGTAGTGAATCTTATCTCACTGGCGGTATTTATACTCCCAAAGACACAAAGCATGCTACATGTAACATGTAGCAACATTGTACCTGTAGCATGTAGCAACATTGTACCTGTAGCATGTAGCATAAGCACACCACATGTTACGTGTAGCATGTAGTAGGGCAAGCATGTAACCTGTAGGTCACAAAGTGGCAGATCAAACGTACAGTCTGTGCAAGGGCCAGTATTTTGACCCCTCTGATGCAGCTGTTTACATATCAGAGCAGGGTGACTCTAGCCCTGAACCTGGTAAACAATTAAAGGACTGTCCAAAGGCCCCATAAGCTCAAATCAATGGGGTTTTGAAGTTTCAACCAAAGCACTTTCTGCTCTTTGATGTATTTGTCAAATATCTGTCTCAAATATTTGTCTATGTTGGCCCGTCAAACAATGTCTGTCATTAACTCAAAAACTCACTGCATGGGGCGCTTGGTGGGGTTCTGGCCTCTGGTCCCCCTGATGGATAAACTGCACACTAGAAAAAATAATATCAACATAATATTGGGCAACCATGACAGTCAACCAGACACAAGATAAAATTGTATGATAATTCTCTTTGAGGAAAACAAAACAACAAAAGAGAAGAAATTTTCTATCTAGCAAAAATGAACTTTAAACATTACTCATAGTGGCGGATGGCTTAAGCTTCTTCTTGAGGATTGCAATGGCATCCTTGATATTTATGACAGTATCTGATAACGCCAATCCTTCAACAGTCAGCTCATCCAATTCATCAGTCAGGTAAGCCGGTTTGACTAAGCACTTGTAAAACTGGTAAGGAGGTGTTTGATCTTCAGGTGCAACTTTTGTAGTAGAATATTCAGATCTTAAAGCTACTCCCTCTTGAACCTTTGCCTTTTTGACAGGGTCTTTAATAGTTTTATAAGAATATTTGTCTTCAAGCGAAATCAATTCGTCTAGTTCAGCTGATCTCCAACCAACTTTGATTCTTTTAAGTCGAGCTGGCGAGTTTGGCGTTGGGGCAACCATCTCAGTATCAGAATGGATATCCACATCATCAAGAATGTTCTTTGTAGCTCGGCCATAGATCTTGAGATGGTCTTTAATGGCTTCGGAACGGGTTTTGGCAAGCTTGAAAAATCAAAAGTCAGCAGGAAGTATCACATTATAGAATTGTGAATTAGAATCAAACACCCACTTTTTTCTTCAAGTCCTTCATTTTCTGTTTTTCTGCCGCAGTAATCTTTTTTTTCACCAGTTTCTCCCTCCCTCCTTCTTTGGCTACTATCTTTAGATCCCTGAGCTGCTGGCTGTAGACTGATCGCTTGGTCTGGAGCCACTGAGTAAGTATTTCTTTGGCGTACATTGGGACGTTGATCTTATTCGAGTCGATATAGTAGCTGGATGGTACCGCTCTAGCATTAAAACAGTTCAGCCAAGAGGAGACCAGGCTGTTGATGACAGCCATGTTCCACTGGGTTGAAAGAGAACACCCCCATTGCAAGGTCAACCTGGGGAAGCCACATTGAGTGAGTGCAGCTTCAGCAAACGCCAATTGAGTCGGATCGTATGTGTAAACTGAGGCAGTGGCCTTTGCTACTCTAGAACTAAATTTGATCTTATGACTATCTACATATGCTTCCACAGCTCTCTTGGTGCACCTTATCTTGAGCTCTTTTCTTGTAGCTTCATTTGCTGAAGGGTTTTTAGCAAGGAGCTTTTCCATATTGGCTTCAACCTTCATATCGATGAAGGTCTCGCGTGAAGCTGAATAGTTGATCCAAGCGTTGACTTCTGTGTCGATAGCTGTAGTTGGAAGTGTATTCTCCAGGAATTTAACCTTGGATGAGGTTGGGGAGTTGGATAGCCTGGGGAGGCCAAAAAGTGCCCTAGCCCATTCGTGAATAGCGGACTTGAGGCCAGAAGCACTTTCAGGAATGTTAATTTTCCTGGCGCGTTGCTCTCCCTTCTTGTTCTTGTACTGGATAGCTTTCTTGTCCCCGTCAACTGTCTTCCTGTACTTCAAGGCAACCCTCTCCTCATATCCAAGCTCATCCTCATCACCCCCATCATCTGGATTGTCACAATATCATAAGCTGTGTTAGCTTACATATGTCAAAACATGGCATGTGTAGCTGAATCCTCACCCTCAAGGTCATCCATGAGTGCATCTCTCTCTGGAAGGGCATCACCTCCAGAGCCACCGCCAGCACCACCGCCAGCACCACCGCCAGCACCACCGCCAGCACCACCGCCAGCACCACCTCCTAGTCCCGCTTCTGAAATAAAAAAAATTAAAGATGAAAAGAAATGAAAAAAGTTAGGAAAGCGAATGAAGTTTGTGAGGGAATATGGAGATAAAGCAAAATTTCCAACAAACATGACATTAATATAGTCATGTACAGGTGTTGGATGGGTATTGGGGATATACGTGATGGATATTTGTATATGTATGTATTTGATAAACATGAGAAGATGGATGTTGATAGTGAAGATTACATAAAAATAGATATGTATGCACACATATATATTCAAATAAACATGCACAATTGAATATAGATGAGGATGCATGTATTGAATATGTATGTATGTATATTCATACATTCATGTATTGGAGATGATCAGATCCATTACATGTTGGAAATGTATGTGTATATATAGATGGTAGTTACGTGAAAGAGTATGGAATACAGGGAAATGGAAATGAAGATTGAAGAAAAATTAATAAGTGGAGAGTAGGGTTAGTTGAAATATATTTGTAGTAGTTTCACGGTTTGGTATGTTGAAGAAGAAAGCAAGTCAGCAATTGTTAACGTGTGGGATTGAGTATATAAAGGTGCTGACCAAAATCTGAATTCAATTCAAAATCAGACATGTCTTGTTGAGCTATTAAAAAGGGCTGAGAAAGAAGGTATGTATCAACTTCAAATGAATGAGAAGTAGGATGAATCTGGATAATGTAACTAACCTGTTGAGATGGGCTCTGAATGGCCTTCAAAAGTGATGGTCAGGGAGAGAAAGAATGATGGGGGAAATGGATGGAAGGAATAGTTTATATATCAGAATCCCCCTTTGTGGTCAAAAAATTTTTGGGAACAAAGGGATTCAGAAGTTGGATAAACCAACCAAACAAATAACCACTGGTTAATCCTTGGAAAGGTCAATGAGAACAGCCTGAACCTGGAAATGGCCCAAGGGATTGATTGATAACATTACCCCCATGATCTCAACACAAGCATTGGGGAATTTTATTTCTGGTGGACAAATAATCCTGATATGTACAAATGTATTGGAGTTTATCTTGAAATAATTACATCTTGTATACAAACAGTACATGTCAAGTGTTCAAGGACATGTACTGTCTGTATACAAGTCTACAAGATGTGGTCGTTTAGGAAGAACAAAAATGGCCCCAAAAGGTCAGGCGGGGTCATTTATTCGGGGCCATCTTTGGTCTTCCTAAACGACCACTTGACTGTATACACACTGTACGTATACAGTCATGTGGTCGTTTAGCAACAACCAAAATGGCCCCAAAAGCTGAGTCGGGGTGATTTATGACCTCAGCTTATCACTCGGGGCCATTTATCGACCTCCTAAACGACCACTTGACTGTATACATACAGTCTGTATACAGTCTTGTGACCGTTCAGAAAGACTAAAAATGGCCCCGATCACGGTCCGGAGGCCGGGTCGGAACATGCCATATAAACTAGCCTCCCGGGACCCTGGATTCCTTCTGTCGATCACTTTTTTTCAATTGATTTTACTCAATTGAAAAGCTCAATTCACTCGTCCACGGCCATCATACTTATACCCTGTACACGACGATCAGCGACGATCATTGCCCACGAAACCTCCCTGGAACTCATTCGTCGATCATTTTCTCCTTCCAATTCACTGAAAACTCATTCTTCAAGATTACTTCAATATCATCAAATCAATCAAAAGAACTCATTCTTCAACATTACTTCAACACCATCAAAACAATCAAACAAAATTGAATGATAAACCTATGTTGGTTTATTCTGTTTTTTTTCCGTTTCAAGATCTGTACACGACGATCAGCGACGAACACTGCCCACGAAACATCCCTGGAACTCAATCGCCGATCATTGTCAATCTTGGAAACTTTTATTCTGTTTTTTTCTTCGTTTCAAGATCTGTACACAACAATCAATCCATTATCAACAAACAGTCCATGATCAACGACTCAATCGTACGAAATGCTTTCTTCTAGATAAAAAGTGAGTCATGATTATATCTTTCTATATACGTTCTATACAAAGACCAGATTGAATAATAAACTTACAGTGGTTTCATTGTGTTCTTTTCTTTAATTTCAAGATCTATCTCCAATCAATTGAAGATAGATCCTTTCGGTCATATTATATTTTCTTTTCTTTTGTTAAAAGTCGTCTTAACTGCCATCGTTAGTTTTCAAAATAAAAAAACGTTTTTCTATTTAGAAGTGAGTAATTCAGACCTCGTCAATGATCTTGAGTATAAACTAACAGTCCGGGATTCTTTTTAGTTCTTTTTTGTTTGAAACGATCGTTTAGAATCGTTATTCTTTATCATTCTGCTACTTATCTTTCAAAAAGAAAGTATTGGAAGATTCACTCTAGCTTATCAAAGGGTATAAGCTGATCTTTTAAAAAGTAAGTATTCAAAGATTTACTTTCGCTTATTAGAGGGTCTAAGCTGATTTCTCTTGAATTATGTTGTCATATTCAAGTTATTCTCTTTTTATATCACCCTCCTCTCCGCTACGATACCCATTCCGAGCGGAATGGCATCTTCCGACCAGCGCAAACGGCCGGAGGCTATGGCTCACGTAACTGGCAAGAAACGCAAACGCATTGCAGAGACGAGCTCAAAGGCGTCGAGTTCAGAAACTGATGACGCTTCTGTTTTGTCGGACGCCGACCCTGAGGCCTACGGGACACCATCCTCTTTACCCAATTTGGCCAATCCAGGTCCTAGTGAGTCTCTTTTCAGTCAACTTCACTTCAAAAATTGTTAATTTGTACTAATGACAACTTTTCTATCCTTTAGGCCGATCAACTGGGTTCGTTCGCGGCGCCACCCCAATCCTCACCACACCGCAAGCAACCTTGCTGCAGGGAAAAAAACAATACATCGAAAGGACAGCCTACATAGCTCAGCTTGAGCGCAAGCTCAAGTGGATAACTGACACATTGGAAGAGGAGAAATGCTCCCCGTCTTTTTTTGATGCCCTTCAGGAAAGCGGGCGCCTAGCCGAAGTGGATCTTATGAGTAAGTTTTTTTGGTTTCTCTATGTCTGTCAAGCACTAATCAAAATTTGCCCTTTTGTAGAACTCGCCAACGGAACCTTTCAAAACAACCTGAAGTCGTTGTTCCACGTTACTGGCCTTCTTCCCCCCCTCAAAAAGCCTATCTTCGACCCAAGCATCGAAGAAATCCACCAAAATGCGTCGTCTCAAGATGCAACCCAAGCTACATCCCGGACCTCGCCGCAGGCCAAGAAGCGCAAGGCCAACCCCGCACCCCCGCGTCCTCAACTCGACCGTGCCGCCAAGGGCAAAGCCATTGACGAGGGCTCCTCTGCCGGCTCAACATCAACCCCACGTGCCAAACGCCGACCTCCCCGCACGCCTAGTCAAACTACCTCGGCCCAAGCACTTGGCGACGGAGACGAGACCCCAAGTCCTGTGAATTCTCGAGCTTCCCCCCCAACTGGATCCCGAGGACCTACACCACGCCCACACTCTCCTACCCTCCCCCGCGGTCCACCCGATCCAACACCCCCTCGCCTTGACGTCAAGGCCATTGAAGAAGGGTATCACACCCTCATTAACGAAATAACCGACCTTTCTGCCCTCCCTTCGACACTCAAACCCATGCGTGTCTCCCTGGACGACCCTTTTTTCGCCTTTTTTTCTTCCTCGATGGCGTTTCCAACAAAGAATTCCAACGCTCCTCTTTTGGCTTATTTGAACTACCAGTTCGACAAGAATTTCCCGCGACCACAATTCCGGGAGATGTTCCCACGTGGTGAGCGGGCGTACACCTTTGTCACACAATTTTTCAATATGGCTCGACTTCACGAGGATTGGACCCCCGTGGACACTATGGGCATTATGTCCCGAATCCAGGCCATCAGAGACAATCTGAAGCGGGCCGTCATTCGAGATCCTCCTGTCGCGCCCCTTCCCAAGCCACCTCTTGCCTCTCCCACCACCTCAGCCCCCGAGGACACTGCCAAGCACACTGCTTTGTTTCACGACAATTCCACCAATCACCCTGACAACGACATGGACTTGGACGGTGATCCTGTGGTTCAGGATGATCATACCCTGGCCACAGGGGGCGAGAGTTTGTCTGATGCCAGCATTGGACCTGATCCACCCCTTCCTGCCGACCAGGAAGAACTCGTAGCTGCTATTGAAAAAGCTGGCAAGCTACCTTCAAATATTCCCTTGGGCCATCCCGAGGATGTGTTGGCTAGGTACTTCAGTGGCACATTCTTCTTGCCTGAAGATGTGGAGCCTGACGATGCTTGGCCATATCTCGACGGCGAGCTCAACGTGAAGATTGGGAAGGACACCTTTGACACTCTACTGAGGGTTGGCCCACACGGCATCGATGGCCTAATACGTGGGTGGTTGGTCAGGTCCCACCGAAACCCTGCTTGGAATGTTACCTTTGATTGGGGTACCAATGTCAAGCTCGGCGGAATCAAGGAGTACATGGCCAAAAAGGTAAAGGTAATCATGCCGAACAACCATGCTCCTCCTGCGACTCAATCAGTCACCACCCAGCTTACACCCTCCGCCTCTAACTCTGCTGGTCCATCTGACCTCGATGTCACTGAAGACTCCACAGACGCCACAACTGCGAGCACCTCTTTGCCGCTTGATGCACCGCCAACTTTTCCTGAGGCCGATCCTTCTCACTCTCAAGCTCAAGCTGACTCTCCTGCCACTCAACCAAGACCTCTCCAGTCTACAGCCGAACGTGAAGACACCAATCTTTTAGATGAATTCTTGAATTTCATGGATTCCCCCAATGCCCAACCAAACTCGCCTCGACGCGACTCGTCTGCTCCGTCTGCGCTACCGGTGCAAGCAACTACCTTAGGTTCTGCTCTCCCACCCCCAAACCCTCCTACGGCGGATCCAAGACTGCCAGCATCTCTCTCTCCTGACCAGTCTATGACGATGGACCCTCGACTCGAAACTTTGACAGCTCTGCCTGCCCAGCCCCAAGCCTCTACCGGCACTGAGACTATGGAAATTACCACCAGCACTCACTCACAGTCAGTTTCTGGCGTTGAGAAATCAGCTTCTCACCCACCTAGACCAGGCCAGACTCTAGGCTCACTTCCTATCAATCCGGATGTACGCATTGTTGGACCCGTCGAGAAAGAGCCCACCACCACCATTTGGAAAGTATCCGATGCCTCGGGGGTCATGGCTCAATCTGTGAGATTGGGAAAGATTGTCAATGAAGACGTGCCTTCCATCTTCACTGCGGTTCTCAGGCTCCTTGCTCTTCGGCGTCGATCTTCTGGAAAGTCCATTGTTACTGCGGAGACCCCAGTGGATGTGAATTTCAAGGTCGAGCCCGATTTGAACGCTGTCGAGTGGCTTTCGCACAAATCAAGTAAGTCTTATTCAATATTTCTTGTCCGTCTAATGTTTACTTATTTCAATTTCAATCTTTATAGACAAAGCAGTCTTGCTCCCCTCCGATTCCCTGGCCCATTGCCCAGAGATTTTCGACTTGACCATGGCCATCCCTGGATTCAAAACTCCTCACCAAGAAGAAAAAAAGAGTTCGATGATCAGAGGGATGTTGACACAGTTTGTCAAACCCACTCCTCACAACCTTGATCTCGCGCTCAAGTCCGTCCTTGCCGCCGTTGCCTATGCCAACATGGATTCTTCGGCCCTCATCACCACGACCAATACTTCCGATCTCGTCTTTCCAAGTAAAACCATCAAGAACGGCTTACAAGCAGCGGTTCACTTCCACAAATTGCAAGCCAAGGCTCCCGAGGAAGTGATGATTGCTTGCGTCAAGACTCTGTGGGAATTGCAAAACCAAATTTATGGTATGGTTGAAGCTATTGCAAGCATTCGCGCTCGAATTCGCCACAATCAACATGTCCTTACACTCCCTGTCGGTGATCGAGAAAGACTCAATGCAGAGTACGACGCCCTTATCAAACACCTTGGTACCGGAAGCCTCCCAGCTAAGACCCTTGGCCCTCTCGTGGGCTTCCTTGTCGGCGGGTTCAGAGGACTACTAGTCTTTTCTAAAAATGAAGGCAAGTTTGGTCCGGTCAAAGTCAGTTACTGTGCGGTGGTAATCAATGACCTTCAAGAAGACGGCCCTGTGGAAGAATCCATATGGAAGCACACCCAGTGCTTCATCATGGACTTGATCGAATCCAGCCTGTTTCCTCAAGGTTTTGAGAGTGCACTTGGTGATCCTGACAATGTGGTAAATGAGGATCAATGGCAGCATGCCAACTGTAACAAGATGCAGCTAGCCAAGTGCATTCAGATGGATCTTGGCAATTTCTTCAAGAGCCACGCCCTCCTCCAGGCTGATGTGCCCTATAAGCTTCCGGAGTTTAAACTACCTACTACCACTGTCAATAAGCCTCTCCCACAAAAAAAGAAAAAGAAAACCCAAGCCGCAATCCAAAACTGAAGTGGTTTTCCTATTCAATTTTTTTTATTTGTCTTTCAATACTTTTTATTTCAACTCTTGTTAGTTTTGTAGCCCTACTTGAGCTGGACTTTTTGATGGAACAGTTGTTGAAACTTTCTTCTTCACTGCTTACTATGTAATTCATTCTACAAACTCTTGTGCTTGCTTACTGTGTGATTCCTTATGCAAATGGATCTTCACATGTAAGTCATACTGTAGCTTGGGAAAACTGTAAATTCTTGTCTATAAACACAAGACTCAGTACCATGATTGGTTGACTTTCAGTATCAAGTGTGTTTGAATTTTGCCAATCACTTTGTGAAAGCATTAATTCCTTACGTGTGAGTGAATTTGACGTATCACCTTGTGAGAGCACTCTGCAAATACCATGTTTCAAGAGGGTACATCTTGAGGAATTCAAAAGCCTTATAGCCATTTCTCTCCACTTGCCAGAAGATTGACACTATATTTCAATCTTCTGGAGAGTGGAGTTGTACCTGTTGAATCTTGGTGTATTGAGTATAGAGTATGTAGTGTATGTAGCCATGCCAAATATGTGAAGTGGATGTGTAAGTTACATGTATGGAGAGACAACCCTAACCCTATGCCTCTACAAAGATAAATTGATTACATATGAGCATGACCATCAGAACCACAAGCTGGCCGTTGCCACTGCGGCCACCAGCTGAACACTTTACAAAGCATTGCGACTTATCCACTTTCTGCTACTCACCCCCTTTGAGTCCACAAACACCTTCATAGCACTTACTAGTCATGCCTCTCACATTGGGTCCACATGCCACCATGGTGGATAGCAATCATATTCTTTGTGCCTGTCCACAACACGGCTGCTCTGAAAAGACTATAGAATTTAGAGACAAGATACACAATGGCAGAATATTCAGTCGCAAGAATTATCCGTGTCACCTACAACAAGCTCCTAATGGTCAGCCATCAAATTTGAACACTGCTTTGCCCGGGATTCAACCTGTTCCATCCACACAGCTGCCAAACGCCCAGGCTGGAGTGAGTTCCTTTTGTTGCCACTCAAAATTCATTCCCTGGCACTAAATCTTCACACAGCCTTCAAATCAGGGCTCCACTATGGCCTCAACCAGCAGGCAGGTTATCACCCTTCCATCCATTGGGGCTGCGGTTCCAATGCGTCAACATCCACCCATCGGTGCAGCAGTGGCGGTTACCCAAGTTCTCCGCATTGGACCGGCAGAAGCAGCTACCAGCAAGAAACGTGGTAGAGATGATTCGAATGCCAATTCAGATGATGATTCAAGTGATGACGCCTCAGGGACAAGACGGAGTAAGGCACCACGTCGTCAACACACCTCCACATTCCATACAACATCAGTGCCACACCAGTTCTTGCAGCACCCATTGTGTCTGAGAGAAATGCTCAAAGTCACATATGACCATCTGTTTCAAGGACGTGGTGAAACTGCTTGTCGAAACAGTCTCCATTCTGCAGTGTTGACCAACAGCTCACAATGTCTGATGCAGTTGCCAAAAAGGCCATTGTGAAACAGATTCCGCTCAGCCTTCCAACACTTTTGAAAACTTGGCAACTCAATCCTGTGATACAATCTAAAATCTGCTGCCCCTACTGTTGCGCCTTACATCCATTACCTTTGTCCGAACCCAACATCAACCCACTTCTATGTTGCAATTACCCAAGATTCACAACCAAATCATCTGCAAAGCTTGCACGTTTACCTTGCGAACGACCTCTCTATGAACAATCTTCTGAGACAAAAATAGGGAAACCATCTAGACTATTTTTCTATCAATCGGTCCACTCCTGGCTGGGTAAGATGCTCAAGTTCTCAGACTTTGAGACCGCTCTTGATGCATCTCTGAACCGCCAATCTCCTCCAAATCACCAAATGGACGACATCTGGGATGGAAAGTTGTGGAAAACATTCCGAAAGTCAGGCTATGTCTTTACAGCAACCTCTGGAAAGCTAGTCTTTGGCTTGTGGTGTGACTGGTTCAATCCTGCTGGCAAGAACGCGGCCCAGAAGACCTCCGTCGGTGTCATGCTTCTCACATGTTTCAATTTACCACCAACCATACGTTACAAAAAGGAAAACATCTGTCTTTATGGAATCATGCCAGGTCCTGGTGAACCGTCCACCACAGAAATGAATCACTTCCTACGCCCTCTTGTTGAGGAGATGAAGGATTTCTGGAACGGTATCACCTTCACCTCCACCTCTAGATTTCCTCAAGGGCGCCAAATTCAAGCTGCACTTTGGCCAATACATGGAGATGTTCCAGCCATGAAGAAGGTTACTGCGTTTACCTCACACTCATCAACTCATTTCTGTTCTTTATGTCACATAACTAGAGATGAATATCGCTCTCAATCCCCTGCACCCAAGTGCCAATGTCGAACGTCTGCTGAAGTCAAGGTCCAAGCTCTATCATGGGAACGTGCGGTTACCGCCAAAGATCAATCTGTCCTGGCAGACTCTAATGGAGTGCAATACACAGTCCTTCAAGAGCTTCCCTATTGGAAATCAGTCGAATTCTATACAGTAGACATCATGCACAATGGATTCCTGGGTATGTTCAAAGATTTTTCAACCCAGTATTTACAAGTGCCTGCTGCTGGAAAGGGTTTGGCAGCTGAAAAGGAAAGAAAGGAGTTCCGCCAGCGTCAGTACCATACTCGACTATCACCACCACCACCACCCAGTCCACCACCCAGCCAGCAAGCAGAGACATCAGAGATGCGACCCCCACCTAAACCTCTATCACACCGTTCTCACGATACTAGATCAGCAGCCCCATCAGATCTTCATAACTTACCGTCATCGTCAGGTGGATCTGACCGCACCCTCCGGGGAAAGAAGAGAGCAAGGGTGGAACAATCACCAACACCCCCACCCCCAGTACCTGCTATTGTTCCATCAGTCACCCCCTATGAACTGAGTTTGCTTCAGCACTGTCTTGAAAGTGCCATTGCTCCCTCTTGGACCACTCGACCTCAGCCAAACTTTGGGATGGCCAGCGCTGGCACACCTAAAGCAGCTGACTGGCACTATTTATTCAAAGTCTATATAGTCCTTGCTTGGGTACCTCATTTCAACACTGGCGAGCCTGGGTCCACCTCTGCCAAAATACTCAACTGCCTCCTGCAGCTCATTCAAATTGGTAACATATGTACTTTGAGATCATTCAAAGATGGTGATGGTGAAAAGCTCACAAAGTTGGTGGAACAGCACCAAGCCAGCCTGGGAGATGGATGGCCTCATATAATGAAAAAGCCTAACCTGCATTTTGCTGAACACATTGGCTCCATCTCAACACTTCTTGGGCCACCTGCTTATATGGCTAGCTGGTCCGGGGAGCGGATAATTGGAAGCCTAGTTGCTGCGCACAAAAATGGAAATCAGAGTCTGTCCCTATCTCAATATTAGTCCTATAAACAATCAGCTGACATTCTTTTTCCATGACCAGAACGGGAGGGCGAGTCATTACTTCAGTACTATTCCAGGCGTAGCTTTTTCCAAGCCATGATGAATAACAATCATGTGGTGTTTGAAAATGATCCAGTTCTTGGAAAATACATCTTCAGGAAGCGCTTGACAAAGTGGAGAGAAAAACAACTTAGTCCTATCACCTTTGAGATGCTTCGAAAGAATGGTCATATAGGGGCAGAGTACACTGGACGCTCGAAATTTGATGTGACCACGAGCATCCTCATTTCGAGAAAGCCACATAGCACTTACAAGAAGATGCCTGGAAATAGCTACATCTCGTATTTTCACAACTCATGTAAATGGAAGGGATGTATCACTGACATTATCAAGCTTCCCAATTCCAAACATCCACTACTTGTTGTCAATTCATTGATACCTCTTTCTGATGATGACAACAAACACAAAAATCTGTACTATTCGTTGCCAGACTTGCTGAACGCCTCAGTGCTATACGACAAGCATGGAGGATATCATGTCATTGAGTGCGACAAGGTCATTGGGCAGCTAGTGGTCGTCAAGAACGAAACAGGCACTTTTGATATTCAACACCCAACAATCTCAACAGTTGAATTGATGAATCTGGTGAGTCTTTGTTGAAGATGAGTTTCTGATGTATACTGATTTTTTCAATTCATTCAGGGATTTGTACAAGCACTGGATGATGAGATGGATATGGACGAATTATAGTCTAGTTTACCAAAGACTTGAAATTCAATTGTAGAGGGAGTTGATCAAGGCACCATCTTTGTTCGAAAACACTTGTACAATTGACAATGACATTATGGCTGTACCTCATTCAGGGGACTGCCTAAGAGCCTGACAGACATTTCCGAATTGTTCTTCATTACTTGCCACCTATCATGAATGTAATCTTGAGCTAATACTGACTGTTTAGTGTGGTAGTGACTGGTTCATAACTTAACAATTAACAGTTGTCATCTGTCCAATAAATACCTCACATAAGTTTAACAAACGTATTATACATGTTCAATAAAAGTCTCATTTTTGCCCAACGTCAGTTGGTCACCCTGGCCTGCCAGTGACCTGTGATTGGGGGCTGTGAATGTTATACTTCTCTTTCATATTCTAACCTTCTTGAACCTTCAAAACAATGAATATTAACCTAAAAACCATGTTCCAACTATTATACGTATATTTTCATTTTTTTTCAACTTCCCTAATTTTGTCCTTTTAATTGCATTCTTCTCATAACAGTTTCCATTCTTAATGACTCAAACTAAATTTTCTTCTCAATGGATCCTTTTCTTACTAATTCTTTTTAATTTATTTTCACTCATATACTATTGTTATAAAATTTTGTCTTGTAATTGTTCTTATCAAATGATATAATCAATATAAGATTAAAATGTTAAGATACTATCTTGGTAATTGGTCAAAGATCATTATTCCTGTTTTGGCAATTGAAGATTATTTAGTGTAGGTTGTAGGAGCTCCTTTAGAAGGAAGATTATGTGAGTGTTGAAGTTACGCGGTTGGTAAAATTGAGATGTATAAAGGGGTAATGATGAAGACTAATGCAAGGGCTATTTGGAAGGAACAATTTTTGGGTTCTCTTATATACTTTTGAAATTTGTCTTTCTCCTTTTCTGATTCTTTTTGTGTCAAAAAGAATCAGTAAGTTTTTCCTCCAGTGTCATTGTCAACTTTTTGTTCTGTTCACTTTACTAATATCTCTACTATTGGTCCAGTAACTTTTTATGTGTTCTAAATCTTTTCCTTTACGCATGCTCTGCAACAATTCCTTTCGAGCATTGCAGGTTAGTA